GGTGTGTATGGCATGGGGACCGATGGTTGGGTGGCGGTTCAATTCAGGCGTTCGGGTGCAGAGTCGGTTCTAATTCTAAGCTGTAGGATCCGAATCTAGCGGCTTTGCAAGCCAGGCCCCGCAGCCTCCGATCTCAAACCGTAAGATCCTCACTCTTGCTACTTGTTGATGGTCTGCTCTTGTTCCTTTTGGCTGACAACCCGAAGACCCCAAAACAACCCAAAGGCTCGCTACACGAGTTGAGGACTTAAGCCCGAGGGTTTGCCCCCAGAAGTGCACGGCCTCTCGCGGATAGCGAGATCCAGCAGATGCTGCTCTTCTCCCAGCTCACGCCCGACCAGAGACAGCAAGAAGCACAGAGAAAGTGCGATGCTCCTGGCAGAGGACTTGTGATTGAACTTCCGGTGTTGACATTGCGACACGGAATGGCGCTGCTCCACAGCATCGTGGTCGGATTGGGCTGCTTCGGAGCTCATATTCCTGTGCTCTCCACAAGCTATCCCTGAACCACAGAAACTCAGCATTGAAGCCGCAACATGGGCTTGCTGAGTCCCCCCCTCTGTCCATGACCAGAACCTGAAGCTGGGAATGTAAACTGCCAGCGCGGCAATGCCGAATTTCGAAGACAGAACTGCGGAAGCTCGCTTTGGAGCTGCAGAAAGATGCCCGAAAACGAGCAATCCCGAAGCCGCTAGATTGCCGTACACGATGCCAGATTCAAGCGCGAATCCCAAGAGTCCACAACAGAATCACAAAGGCCAGATTACTCGGCACTCTCTTTGCAAACAAGATTCGAAACCACGCCCAACCAGTGCGCAAGCGCAGCGGCCGATGCCATCCGAAAAGCGCCCTCAGCCCCCTGAGCTCTTTGGCTCTCTACTGCTTGTTCATGAATGAACAGACTCCCCAATTTTCCCTCCCCAAACCCAAAGCGCGACGAGCAGCCGGAGCGAGGATCACGAAGAGTAAATCTTCTCGGCAGACTGATACGCATGTCGTCTCTTACCCTGAGCAAAGCCCTCCACGCAAGCTCTTACCGGCTGCTTGCACTTCGCTTAAAACGCACCGACGGTCCAACTTACGAGGACTCACTAGGGGTTTCACAGTACTCGCCCCGTTCCGGTTTTTAGTTTGGTCACAAGCAGACTTCAGGGTTCAGCGTGGTATTTGGAGTTTGCGGCTTGACGGCTTCAGAAACTTGGGGTTCCGGGGCGGAGATTTTCCAGGGGCCGAATGTAAAGGCCGGGAGCGCTTCGCTTACGATACTAGTATCATCCTTCAGCGGGAGAGTCTTTTGGAGCCGCACACGGCTGCAACAGGTTTTGCACCGCCGCAAAATCTGCCAATTCACCAGAAAGCCATGCGTCGCAAAGCTGTCAATCACAATTCCGAAGCAGGTTCAGGATCTGGCCATGCACTTTTCTCACGCACCCCACCCTCATCCCTCAACTCGTAGCCGTCCTCAGAGCCAACTCAGAGATCGGAGCCGCGGTCTGCCCCGAGTGCTAAAAACCCCGAAGTCACGGGAACGCTGGGCGCCTGGGGGTCTGCGTTCATGCTGAACTTGATGAGCACGTGGCCGGCGGCCTGCTGATGATGCCACGATGCTGCACAAATATGTAGTTAACAAGATGACTAAGCACTTATAGATGTGCAATAGTGTCTTGTGTATACACATACATACGCAGATGTGTATGTGTATATGTGTGTATGTTATGGGAGAGAGAGAGATATGTATATATATATATACATATATATATATATACACACACATATATATATACATACATACATACATACATACACTTTTTGACGATTCACGATACTTGTCTGACCTGTTTGAGTATCGATGGGGGATAAGTTTTTCTTGAGTGGAATCGTCATTCACGTGTTGATGGTCTGAAGCCGCCTCAAGTTCACAGTGCTACCGCTCCAAGCACACCCATGCTCAGCACGATCGCTGCAGGACGCCGCCCGAGATAGCTGCCTGGCCCAGGACGAAGTTCCCCGCGCCACTGTTGGAGTCCACGTGGGTCAGCCTTCACCCGAGTTTATGTGTTCAGGGTAACGTTGAGCCTCTAACTCCAAGGTCCCCAAAAAAATCAGGCAGCCCGGCGCAAAGGGGAGAACTTTCGTCTCCCACACCAGATGGGGGCCTGGCCCAGCCACGTCTCCGGGGGCTTGGTTGGGGTTTGTGCTTGGGGTGTTGAGCTCTCTGGGTTAAGAGATGTAGACGTACAAAGGTACATGTACTGGTAGATATGTACTAACCACGATGATTAGACACAGGACGAGAATGAATCCGACGTCCTCTGTAAGCGGAACGATATATTACTATGCAGATACGAACAGGTAGGAAAGAAGAGGCTTGGAACTGAAGCCTATCTTGCGATCGTTCGAAAGGGCGGGAGTAGAGCAACCCGAACAACATTGAGCCAGTCAGATTGAGGTCTTCAGGGTGCTCGGGCTCCAGGGTTCGGGCTTTGCGGCATTCAACGCCTTCGGGCATTTGCATATTACGGCGAGCCGTAACTTGGCACCACGACCCTCGACGTATGTGTTTGTGTGACCAAACCCTCCGAACAGGCTCCAAGGTGCAGAGGGAGGCCATGCCAAATCATGATCGCACTGGGGTCCTTGCTGCTTCTTTGCCGGCTAGTCACAGGTGCAACGGGGGATCCCTCAGACCCACAGTGTAGCTTTGTCTCAAACGAGCTCGGAGAGATCCCCCCCTGCTTCGGCCTCGTTTCGCACCAGCTGGTGGAGACTCGCCGTGGCGAGCCGAGTCCCCTGCTCAGGGCGCTGAGGCTTCTAACCGGAGGAGTGGTTTAGTCGAAGGGGTGTAGGCACCTGAACACCAACCAAAGATCTTAGAAAGCGTAGAAGTCCAGCTTCGTGGTAGGTCCTAGACATCCTCACTTCACTACGGTATCTTGGGGACCTCATTCCGATGGACCGGACGCCGACAAGGTCGTGGCAGCAGGACCAAACGCCCAAACAGAATCGGGTCTGGGGCTGTTGCTCTGTAGGCTTGGGTCGTCAGGACCAGAAAAACCCTGCAGACCCTCGCTCCACCTGCTCGTTCGTCCACGGGGACCTGGGCAAATCTCGCAATTGAAGTTTTAGGGCTTCGGGGCTTTGGGGGTTCTGCGTTTGGAGGACGCAGACCCCGGGGAAAGCAAAATCCGGCCCTAAGGCTACAGAGGCCTGAAGTCTCCCTAAGCCTTACCTTAACCCCAAGTAACCTACCTTTTTAAGGACTTATATAGGGAAATCATATTGGGGAACCCTACGAAGGCAGGTTTCTTGGGGTCCAGGTAAACACCAAACGACACTTTCCCACAACTCCCTGACATCACTTCCCCAGAAGGTGCCCTGAAGGCCGGAGTCCAACTTGTCAGAATCAAACTCGTGAACCCTAAAGCTCACACGGATTGCGTTCTTCCCTAAGTCCTGAACCTAAAACTTCCTAAAACTCTTGAGGCTCTAAGCTTCCCGCACATTCGGGCAGGATCTGCTTTCGGATCTCCACGGAGCATACTCCGACGTCTCGATTCCTGTAGGGTCTTGAGTCTCGAGTCTCGATAGGTGCAGGGTCCTTAGACAAGCCACCCAACAAAGTTCACGCTGTTCGGCTGCGATTCAATGCAATGCCCTTGCTCGGGTCGGGCAGGGTCAGGCCGGCACTGAAGCAGAGGGAAGGGTATGGTAGGGCCTCCTACCCAGCGATACGGTGCTTCATTTGGCTCCCGTAGTGCTTGGAGGGTTTTGCTTTGATACCGGGTCGGCCTTTGGTGCTCTGCAGGCGATAACAACATGCTGGTGCTTGCAAACAGCTTTTCACCGAGGCTTCAATCATTAGAGCATGGTTCTGGAGCACATTGCGCTGTTGTACTTTACTTGCGTGGCAGGTACTTCTGAGACTCCTCTGCAACCAATTGGAGCCTCAAACCCTGAGGCAAAGACTCGCAACGGGCAACGAAGTTATGGTCAAAGGCTTTAGTGCATTTAGGCTGTTTTTAAGCACCCTTTTTACGTCTGCAGATCCGGAGAACCAGATTTAGGTCTAGGGTGTAGGCTTTAGCGTTGGAGGGGCCTGGCAAGGTTCATCTGGAAAGGGCCGAGGTAGACGTCGCTCTTCGTGTGGAGCCATAGCTGGACCTTCGGCAGCTACTTCTCGATATTAGGCACAGTTTTTGCGCATGGGGTCTTGCAGAGAACTTTGTGCCGGGGTAGACGAAAGCTGGGATGGCCGTCATAATCATCATCCCTCATAATTGGGACTCAAGGTTTGGACGGGCAAGGACGGTCAGGTTGCAAGGCTGAAGGCTGCCTCGATGCGTTCGTGCGGCTACCGCGCAGACAGGCTACTTCTCCTCCAGATCGACCCTTCAAGTTGGAAATTCTGGGTCTTTGGGCAAGGAAGCTCCGGAGCTCTTGAGGGTCCGGGAATATTGAGATCAGGTAACCCAACTGCGACCCAACTGCCGCAGCCGGATCTGTGCCCGAATTACCCCTGAGGTGCGAGATGCTACTACAGCAGCCCAAAGGAGTCCTGTGGAGGACTAAACCTTCAGATTGGCGGAGCAAAACCTTCATCTAGCACCTGGCCCAAATTTCGACGCCCAAAACTCTCCAAGTCCCCAAGCTCACATCCCAGAACGCGAAACCCCGGAGCCCTAAATACCCGAACCCGAAGCACAAGCAGGCCAGTGTGCCGTCTGCCCAGCCATGATATCGTTCACCGAGGCCGCGAATGTCAGCCTTGGGAGTGCAAACACTCGAAGCCCAAGAGTGCGGATTTCTGCACTTTTGAAGACACTTCGGGTTCTGGGGGTTTGGGGCATTTTCTTCGGGGATGCACACATAGCGAATGCAGGATGGTAAGTCTACAGGGCGAGAGAATCCAGGAGTATGTCGCGCCCTTTGATAGAGCGCCAGGCTTTCCTTCAACCCAACTGGCACCAAAGCAAAAGAGTCCGACCTGCCCAAGTTACAGCTTAAGCCGGCCCCAAAACCAGCGCAAGAAGACAGGCCGAAAGCCCTTGCAGGGGCCCCGGCGTTTCGTTGAACTTCCAATCACAGGAGGGGATGTCATCATCAACTGAGCATCACAGGCTGGGATTCGAGAGTGCCTTGGGACAAGCTTTGCCGAATCCTTGCCGTGCGTCAAGGCAGACGAAGATTGTGTGGAGGTTTTCACGAGGAACTCTGTGCAGATCGGTGTCTCACGACTTCCATGCCAGAGCCGTTCAACGAGACATGCCATGGCCTGGACAAAACCCCGAAGCCCAAACACACCGCAGTCTATCCCTGACTCGCCCTCCGCCATGACCCAACCGCTAGCACGCCCACCGCGAAGTGATGCAGCTGCCTCCGAAGTCTTCGTCGTCGTCCGCCACGTCTCCGAACTCTGTCTCCTAGCTTAAAGGCTATATAATTTCAGGAGCATTCGGCCAGCAAAGCCGCCACCCTCGAGCCTTCCGCACGTTTCCCACGACGGCCGCCACTCGCGGCCTCTCCCTCGTCAGGAGTCCGTTGTCAGAAAGCCCCGGGATGGACCTGTGACCGCGCTCTTGTAACTTCAAGGCGTGGAGATTGTTGTGAGTACGCATCGTTGAACTGATCCAGGGATCAAATTTGCGGTCTAAGTTTGCCCCAACCCTTTGAGCGCATACCCATAGCCAACTCCCTGACTCTCGGAATCTATGTCAGAGATCGAACTGCGAAACTCAAAGCAGAGGGATGTGCAGGCATGCCAAGGTGCATGGTAACAAAAGTAACAAAACAACGCCATCTTGGCCCTGCCCTGATCCCGACCTGGGCACTTTTCGAGACCCTGTCCTTGCAACGGTCATACTTCGCTGCTGTTCCATTATTTTATTTCACGATATTTCACCACTGCAATGCTTTGGCTGTCCTGGAGTGCACACGCCCCTATAATGGAAAGACTCCTTGCTCAGTTTCCCGGTGCTTTGCGGCCTTCGCGGGGCTATGTTGAGCACGGCAACAAGGGCACCTTGCCGCTTGTGTCCTGAAATGTCCTGAACAAAAAGCACCTTTTTCTGGACTTGCTGCAAACATTCGAAGATCTTGCCCGTCGAAGCATAATTGCATCCCCAAGTCCCTGAACCCAGATCCTACACCCGAGTCCCGAAGTCCTAACTCCCCAAAAAAATGTGTGCCCAAAAGTCCGAAACCCTTGGCCGTCTGGGGCCCTGTCGCAGCAATCACCCGCACGGACAGTTTAAAAGTTTCCGCCTCGGCCCCGAAGTCTTTGAGAAAACGTTTCTGGGCCAAGCAAACCCCAAGCCCATCAAAAAAGAACGAATCCTACCGGGAGAACGAATACGACACCACGAAGCCCTAAACGGAGCGAACCGAGAAGTCCCCAAGCTGCCCTCAGAGCTTCGGGAGCTATCACATCTCCGACCTCAAAACTCATCCCCAACACCCAGTTCTCGCGTCAGTCTCGTCACACAGCTCAAACCCTCAGGCTACGTAACCCAACTGCAAGTTTCGGTCTCGGATATACGAAGATGGAAACCCCAGCAAGATTGAAGAATGCGGACTCGCACACCCAAGCCCTGAAACCCAGCCGTCGTTCCAAGACTCAGCACATCTCTGAGCCACAAGCTCCGACATCCCTGAAACCTTGCAACTTGCACCCCGACCCCTAAGCACACAGAGCCCCGACCGTGAAACATAGGCTCTGGATCTGTAACGAGACTCTGATCTTTAATAGATGTATAAGCATTATATATATATATATATACACATATGTATACATATACTGTTCATGATGCCGTTTGTCGAGATCCCTCCAAGACCGAAGCTTCGTTGACTCTGCGGCCTGGGTTGAGCCAGCTTTGTGGGTTTGGAATCCAGGGAGTTCCCTTTAGGGCTCTTCAGGTTTAGGGTTCGGGGACATGGTGTGTAGCAAGGTTCCGGCAAGCAGGATGCGGGTAATCTTCGATTGGTCCAATAATGGGGAGTGCTTAAGACTCCGGGCTGGTTTGCTTTGCTAGGCTAAGACAGAAATTCTACCACTTAAGGTCGACGCTGGATTTCCTGTTCTTCTGTTCCAAACGAATCATCTCCAACAATCGTGCCACAAGGGGCTGCTACACCCTGAAATGGGAAGTCTGCTCAGAATGGCCTGGTGTTTCGCCAAACATGATCGCAACTCGAATGTATTCTCCGTCCAAAATCGTGCTCATCATACATACAAGGTTTATGTGCCCAACTTGAGGACACTCTTCATCCGGGCCTCCAAAACCGACGACCCTACTTGCCATTGGCAACAGCTTTATCTGCTCTGTGGGAGCCCACTGAGGTGCGGGAGCTGGAGATCGCTCAAGCGATTCTGAACCTCGGCCGAAAGATTTCAGGGTTTCTTGTCTTGCGAGACTGGCTAGTCAGCCGTTAGTCACTATGTGGGGCTTTCAAGGTTGAGGGTTCCGGGGGTGGTCGGACTTTCACAAGCGCACTACGTGATCCAGCGTTGATCCTTGGCCGATGATTTGCTTTTGGAGCGTCAAAAGCTGAGTTGTTTCCCGATCGAAATTGTGCATTGGGACACGTGCAGTTTGCAAGAAACCTGAAACTGCAATCACTGCGACGAGTTGCCCAGAGGCCGCCAGAGAAGGCAGCAATCGCCTGGATCATGGCCTTTGATGGCGTGCGAAAATTTCTAGCTTTGCACTTTGAATCTGGAGCTCGTGGTACGTATCTGTAGGCCACAGCTGCCTTAAGCTTTCGACGCGTATCGGCGGAGGTATCGAGATTGCTAATATTGAAAACTGAAAGCATTCACAACACCAAACTTGAGCAAGTGCAAGGCATCTCCTGGCCTCGGGTCCCGGGCTCTCACGGACAATCCATCGCCCAGTGGAACAAATAATAGTGGTATTGTCTTGCAGTCTAATGCTCAAAATGCTCAAGTCTTCCGGTGTCACCATGTTTAACCTTGTTGCGCTTCCGAACAATACATGAGCTGTGAACAAGCTTCGCTGATTTACATTCGCTATGCTTGCAGCAGACTCCAGCCGGATACCACCGAAAACGCAAAGCCCTCACAACTTAAGCTGGAGATCATGTTTCGGTGAAGCAACAACGGCCTTGATCTTGAGCCGTACTTTCTTCGGAAGCCACTTTGATGCATTGTGCCCTTGGCCTAGCCAATTAGCCAAACGTAAAGACTTGGGGACTGGTGATTTGCGGATGTGTTGCACAAAGCCGAGCAGGACTGTGTCTGCGAACCGAATGCATCGCATTATGTCAAAAGCATCCGGCAAACTCTCAACGCGCAAGTATCTGAAAAGACTGGCAGTAGCCTGCAAAAGTTGGGCACGATAACGGCTGCTAAAGCACGACATTTTGAGCTGCCACCGGTCTCTGCGAGAATGCATGTTCGCTACGTCACGAGTTAGCACATAACAGCGTCAGCAGCAAAACCAGCCCAAGCTAACAGCTTCAAGCAAAACGCAGGTACTGCCTGCACTGCCTACACAGTGTGACTGGTTATCTGCTTGCTAAAGCTTTCCGACCGAACCACCCGTCGCAGGTTCTGACAGACCCAGTTAGGCCAGCGTGCCTTTGAGCAACGGCAGCGGCGACTGAGCCTGGAAAGCCCAGGAAGAGTGCCTGCGAACCTGGTTGGCCTAACAAAACTGCGCCAGACACCCTGGTTGTCCGGCATACAAGCGTTCTAAGCACACAAGTTGAGGTTTACGATAGTAGCATGTGTGAAAGCAGACATGGCACGCATGCTGGTCAAGTTCCAAACAAACTGTCAGTCCCTTCAATTGTGTAACAACTCCCAGGAACTACCTTCACGCAATCGATGGCACAACAGCAAATGCGTTTGCAAACTTCTGCAAGTTTGTGTCTTGCGTGGCAGCGAAATGCGGGAAAGTCTGCGTTGTCTCGCTCAGCAAGAAACTTTTTTTTTGGCGTGGGCGGGCCTCGTCGACTGCGTCAGCAGTCAGCAGCTCTCGGTCCCGACAAGAAGCCAAGCAAGCGAAAACAACTTCCCGAAAACAGTGCAACAAGCTGCGACGCGCAGGCTTTGCCGGCAGGACTCGTTCAACTACGGTTCCCGCACTGGTCTTGCAAAATGCAATAGACCTCATAAAACAACCCCATACAACCCCTCTCAGATGGCCCTGCCCTCCGTAAACCATGGAGAGCGCAATGGCCGCATCCTTTTTTTTGGCGTGAATGGGCCTCGGTGACAGCGGCTGCTGCGCTCGGTCCCTAGAAGAAACAAGAAAGCAAGAACAAGAAGCAACTAACAACTGTACAAAGTGAAACAAGGCGGCTGCGACATACAGACTTAGCCGGCAAAGTCGTTCAGCATTAATTAATGTGCAATCGGAGCTACTGCGCTCACTGGCCCCACTTCCCGCAATCTTGGGTCGCGCAATGGCAAAGCACAAGGCATGGGCCGGCTTCCCGTAGTCAATGGTCGCGCAATGGCCCATATGTGCATCATAGCCGCCATCCCCTTGGGTAGGCTGCGGCACACTGCTGTAGCGCAGAAGCGATGGACTAAGTGGAAAAAAGTTAAACTGTAAAACCCTGAGCGTTCACGCTTTTCCTGCTTAAGCCAAAGGCGCTGCATAGTCACACTATACAAACTATACCGTAGCCTGGGCTCACCAAAGGCGTGGGGCGTTCCTATGTACAGAATTTAACACCCTGCCTCGAAGTCCTTGTGCTGTACTTCGCTTCGGTCTGCGGTCGGGCATACCTCCGCCCGTGACTGCATAGGCTTTGCCATTGCGAGTCCTTGGGTTAAACACTCCGTGCAACCCACCTTTTTACCGTCCCCCAATTAGGGAGGTGTGTCAGACCGTCCATCTCCTGACATTCGTACAGTAACAAGTACTTCGTCCTAGTGAAACAACTTCCAAACAAACCTGCTACAGCGCTCCTTTCTTTTGAGCTTTCCGCTGTGCTGTTCCGGGGTGAAACTTTTTCAGTCTTGCCTACACTCACTGCTCTGTCTCATACTCGTTCATGATGTAGGGCTTACTGACTTCCAAACAAAGTACGCTCCTCCGTGCTATCTGGCGTACCGGGATCTACTACTTGTTTCTGGCTTCCAAACAGATCCAATCCTTCTCCTTGAGTGCGTTCTCCAGACGCATCATACGTCTCCTGGCATTGTTCACAATACTCTTCATACGATTGCAACGCTTCTTCTGGAAGCATCATGTTTCCCATTTCTTCCACGGTTATCATCTTTCCACGATACTCGATCATTTCCGGCTCCTTCTGAGTTTCTGGTGAAACGACTCTACCCAAGGCTTCCATTCCACGAACGTAGTCTTCCTCGCTTACGATGGGCATACGGGTCCCATCCGTATGTACAATTGCTGGCGTTCCCATCGCTGCTCTTCCACGTCTCTTCAGGGATCCTTTACCTGTGCCACTTCGCTGAACTCCGGCATTGACGCTCGACCAAAGGCCGGGATGGGATGTCCTTCAGGGACCTGCGAAGCACCCGTGACAGTAAAAAGGAAGGAGATCGTGACCTTGTCGTCTACCCCAAAAACAGTCGCGAAATCGCGCCTATAAGGGGCAAGGATAACAGCATCACCAAAATTGG